AGCTGAGAGAAACCCAATGTGTCTGGTGACAAGGGGTCACACAGAGCAGGGCAGGAGGTGGCTAGAGGTAGACACGCCCAGAGGATACACATTATTAAGGGATCTGGTGTGTCTGCAATCCAACCAGAAGTTGAGGGTTTCAGATGTAAAGGAGAGTCATCAATATTTTCTGTAACTTCGCCTGCAGGACAGAACAGGGCAGTGGTGGCAGGGAGAGTCCCCTGGACACCCCAGTAGCTGCTGTGGAGGAGGGAGTAAGGGAGCTCAGATTGGGGACACAGTCCCCAGCAGGGATGTGGGTACATGTGAGGACATGTGAGAACACGTGGAGGGAACTCAGCAGGGATCTGGGATGGAGGGACATGAGGAGGGACATACAGGGAATTGGGGGTGACTGTGTTGCCTGGTCCTGGACTCCCAACCCTCACTGAGAAAACAGGAGCAGAGTGATGAGTAATCAGCTGTGAGTGGATGAGAACCAGGGGTCCAGTTTTGCATATATTGGTTCTGAGGGGTCTGGAGATCAGTGTGAGGTGCCAGGGGTGTTTTCAGCCATCAGGAGAGACTTGAGAGGGACATTCCTCAACTTGAACCACAATACAGTACCCCCTGGAACCCATAGGACTCCAGTCAGAGTGGCCCTTTGGGTGGCAGGGATTAGAGGTGTAAAAATGAGTCCTCTCCTAGGTGTGGATCACGCAACACAGGCAGAGAGTGGCAAGAGAAGCCCAGGATAAACATGTCCACTGTTTAGTCTCCTTAACTGGGGGGTCAAGATCAGTGTGCTGCAGGGAAAGGCTTTGTCTCCACTGCAACTTCCAAACCACCATGATCCACATGACTCCCAGGGGGCAGCTTCCTTCCACTGTAGTGGGTGTGACTCAAGTTCCCAGGCACCTCCCACCCAGACTTCCCATGGCCTTTCTGTATCGGGCCTGCCCCTTCCAGGGGTCAGAACAGTATGGGGGACTTCCTAGTACCTCCTCTGGGGGCTGAGGCTCAGGTGTCCCAGAGTGGGCAGGAACTGCATGAATGACTCTCTCCCAGGCCTCAGCAGGTCCTGGACTAGACGCTGGACTGAGGTGGGGCTCAGACCCCACCCTGAATGTCACCCTTTTTATCCCTGGGCTTATGCCCCTGTCTTCCAACTCACAGAGGTCCAGAAGGGGGGTGGTATTGTGGTCCATAACCAGCCTCTCACTGTCCTCTCTGTCCTTGAACTCTGGGTGGGAGGACAGGGCCCCACAGGTTGGGAAGTGTGCAGGGTCCATGCTGTGGGCTCATTTCCATGGTCTCACAGGGAAGTGACTCTGGGTGCCCCCTAGCCCTACTCTAATGTCCCCTCCTTGGGTCCAGAGAGGTTTTGTTTTCTGAAATGTTTCTCTACTGAGATATTTCATAACCAGTCTAAACCCATGTCAATCTAAAGACCTTTAGTATTAATTGCATCAAAGATGGATAAAGATAGAGATATATATAAAAGATAGGTGTATGGATTTCAGCACCAACTTAAACCGTACACAAAATATAAATTCAAGGTGGACAAAAGACTTAAATATAAACCGTGACACCATTAAAGTCCTAGAGGAGAACGTAGTTAGGAAAATCTCAGATATTTTACACAGAAACGTTTTTACAGACATGTCCCCTAGAGCAAGGGGCATATAGGAAACAATAAACAAATGGGATCTCATCAAAATAAAAAGCTTCTGCACAGCTACAGAAAACAGTATTAAAATAGAAAGATAACCAACTGTATGGGAAAACATATTTGCCAATGATACCTCAGACAAGGGTTTAATCTCCAAAATATATAAAGAACTTACACAACTCCACTCTAAGAAGACAAGCAACCCAATTAAAAAATGGGCGAAGGACTTGAACACACACTTCTCCAAGGAGGACATACAGAAGATCCAGAGACACATAAAAAATATTCAATATCCCTAGCTATCACAGAGATGAAAATTAAAGCCACAATGAGATACCACTTCACACCAGTCATAATAGCCATCATAAACAAAGCAACAAACAACAAGTGTTGGAGAGGTTGTGGAGAAAAAGCGACCCTAGTGCACTGTTGGTGGGAATGCAGACTGGGACAACAACAGTGGAAAACAGTATGGAATTTTCTCAGAGAACTAAAAAGGGATCTTCCTTTTGACCCAGCAATTCCACTGCTAGGATTATATCCTAAGAACACTGAAACACTAACCCAAAAGAACCTATGCACCCCAATGTTCATAGCAGCACAATTTACAATAGCCAAGTGATGGAAGCAACCTAGGTGCCCATCAGTAAATGAATGGATCAAAGAGCTATGGTACATTTACACAATGGAATTCTATGCAGCAGAAAGAAAGAAGGAGCTCCTACCCTTTGCAACAGCATGGATGGACTGGAGAGCATTATGCTAAGTAAAATTAGCCAGGCAGTGAAAGACAAATACCATATGATCTCACCTTTAACAGGAGCCTAAGCAACAAAATAAACAAGCAAAATATAGTCAAAGTCATTGAAATAGAGGTCAGGCTGATAGTGACCAAACGGGAGAGAAGAGGGAATTTCAGGGGAGAATGGGAAGGGTTTACAGGAACAAATATACAGGACACATGGGCAAAAACTAGGTGGGGAGAAAGTGGGAGGCAGGTGAGGAGGGATGGGTGGGTGGGTTGGAATGGGAACAAAAGGAAAAAAACTGTACTGGAACAATAACTAAAATAAAATAAATAAATTTTTAAAAAGACAGGTGTATGGAGATATAAAGAGATAATAAATGATACGTAAAGAATAGATACATAGATGATAGATAAACATGTAGATAGAGGGGATGGGTGGATAGATAGAGAAGTAGAGGACAGGTAGATGGATAGATAAGTAAATGACAGGTAGATAGAAAAATGATAGGTACATGGATACACATGTACCATAGGTAGATATATACACACTTAGATACATAGGTATTCATACAGATACATGAATACATATATACATATATAGATTGAAAGTTACATAGATACAAACATAGACCATGGTTACATAGATAGACACATAGACACGTTGATACATACATAGTAACATAGATACATAAAGACTTAGGTACATAGATAGATACTTAGATACAGAGAGAAATACATGGACTGCATAAGCAGGGAGATTTATTGGCCTAGCTTCCAGTTCCACGGGCTGACAGTCCCCAGCAGCACACTTATGCAAACACTTCAGTTTCCCAAGTGCAGAAGGAGAACCATACAGCTCCCTTGAGACCTTCATGTGATGACTGGAGGCGGGGAGCACAGAGAGGAACCTGGCACAGTGAAATGCCACTCAGTCTACCCTCCCCATGCTCTCCAGGGCAGGTGGCAGCCTGCTCAGTTACCATGCCCTTGTCTCTGTGGCCCTCTGTGGCCTGTGACCCTGAGCAGCACTCTGCACACACCTGCCTCCCAGTTGGCTCAGTTTTCTCTGAAAGAAAAGCCCCTAAGTCTACAAAGAAAATGGACTACACAGACTATTGTTTTGTCTAAAGTTTGGTAAGAGGAGCTTCATGGAAGGTTCTGTTTGCAAAGAACCAGATGGGTGTGGGGGCTGGAGTTCTAACTGGATGCTGTGGGCATCTCTAGGTCATTTATGGCACAGACCACAGGCACTGTGTGTAGAGAAGGTGGACTCCTAGCCTCTGTCCCTCAATACAGGGAGTCACATGATTATGACCTCACAGGGGAGGGCCCAGACCCAAGAGGAGGAGAATCAGGAGCTGAAGGGAGAGATCTGAGATGTCTTAGGGTCACAGCCCCGAGTGGAGCTGCTGGGCCACAGCACCAGGCAGGCAGTCTTCCAGGAAGAGCTGGGGTCAGTGGAAAGGCACTTCTTCATTGCCCTGTGTCAGCCAAGTGAGGTCAGAAAGAGAAGAGGAGGTGTCTGCAAGGCCTGCTGTCATGTCCTCCTGGATGGGGTGGGGCTCAGCCTCTCCAAGGGCACAGACCTACAGCTCTCTCTAGACATGAGCTCAGCTCAGAGGGCACTCAATTCTGTGGTCACCGCTGCTCAAGAAGAGCATCGGGCTCTGGGAATGCATCCTTCCTCCTGGCACCAAGGCTCATGTACATTATGATTCCGGGCCTCAACCCCACCTGCCCAGTGCCCCATGTTCCTGAGCCCCAGTCACCCAGCACCTCCAGGAAACAGAAAGTTCAGACCATGGACTCTGCCCTGGGGAAAAACCCAGGAAGTGAACCTGAGGATTCAGGGTGTTGTGGCCACAGCAGTTGACGTCCTAGTGTGCTACAGGGAACCTGGCATCTGTGGTCAGAATTACAGCACCGGCTCTCCTGGGGCTCCATCATGGGCAGACGGCAGCTGGTGGGACTTGCAGGTTCTGTGACCTGAGAGCCTGTTCCTGTACTGAATCCATGCTTCCTCTCCTGTGTCTCTAGGTAATGTACATACCAAAACCTACTGGTTCTGTGTCCCTGGAGAGCCCAGACTAATGTACTAAGAGATCAAAAGTAACAAACAGGTGCCATACAGAAAGACAGAAAATCAATACATGGCAGAACCTCAAGGAAATAAAGATAAAGATAGAGAATCAGAAAGCAAAATCCTGGAGGTAAATCAACGCTGAGTAGAAATAGCACATGAGAGATCAGTACAATTTAAATTGAGAGAGAGGGCTGGACACACACCCTCTCTGAGCCAGGACAGAAACCTCCTGGCTAGTGGGATGTTTAGCCTGTCCTGAAGTCAGAAGTAGCCGACCTTGGGCAACTTAGTATTTCAGTGCCTAGTTTGTAAAAACAAAACAGAGGAAAGACTGCAGGTACTATGGAGGTTGAACCAGGTACTATGAACCAGGATTCAATATCCTAATGTTTCACAGAACTAAAGTAGCAATTACACTTTTAAAAGAGCTGGCTAAGTTTGGGTTAAACTTTTAAAATATTGTTTTAATATAGAATGACATTTTTAATACCAGGCCTGTAACAGACATGCAAGTTGCTTCTTTTTTCTACTAAACAAACAAAAAAACAAAAAAACTAAATTAATCCAAAGGAGACACTGGCACCCCCTAGCAGTTCTCAGGGTAAAGATTCCATTTAACGTGATAGGGCAGCTAGTTGACCCCATAAGGTGGGTGGAGTAAACCACCTGGGCATCATTAGCTCGACCTCTGGAACTGCTGAATATTAGATGGGTCTCTGAAAACTGCTGGACAACATTAGATGGGTCTCAGAAAACAGCCAGGTGCCAGTAGCTGGATCTCTGGAAACAGAAGTTACAACTGTGCTTCACCAAGCTGGTTGGTTGTAGGAGGGGCCACCTCGTTAGTGACCCTCCTGCATGTTCACTAGGGGTCCCTGAAGTCCAGGTCTTGCCTCCAGCAAAAATGTGTTGATGACTTTCAGGAAGGAGATAGTTTAATAGGGAAGTCCTCCAAGTGGCTGCTACCGGCCTTTGCAACAGTGGCATCCTGTGTCTCCAAGGGCAGAGGCCAGGTGGTCCTGAAGTTAGTATCTGGGGAGGGCTGCATACATTCTGGACTCAGCTGTGGGCTCCATGGGTTGTGGGGACTCGGTGCGAGCTGCTCTCCATGTGAGCGCCTGCTGGTCCAGCTGGGCATATGTCACCTCCTGGGGATCTCCTACAGCAAGGCTCTGAGGCACAGACCCAGGATAAGTTAGTGTGGCCGAGGCTGAGGGGTGGGGGTTGTGGGAAGGAAAGACTGGGCAGCCAGCTTCCATGTGGCCACTGTCATCCCACCTCCAGAATCTCCATTGTGTGGCCTCCTTCCACACAGAGTCAGAGTTGGTCTCTGTGACCCACAGAACATGTCAGAAGTGAGGGCCTCTCACCTCCAAGGAGGGGCCACAAAAGACATTGTGGCTTTCACACACCGACCCTGGGATCTCTGCCTCTTTGTCGGCCAGATGCCATGGAGGAGCCCACCTTCCTGCAGAGGAACTGAGGCCTCCCACCCCCACTCCTGCAGTGGTGCCACCGTACATGTGGACCATGCAGCCCAGGTCAAGCCTTCAGCTGGACACAGCCCTGGTCATCTGCACAGCAACCTCATGAGAGTCCCTGACCCAGCACCACCCAGCACATTCCATCTGCCTGCAAATCCTCACCCAGGACGCTGGGATGATTTTGTGAACCCGTTACAGTGAGGGTGCTCAGTTACCCAGAAACCAGTGGCAAATACAAGGACTCACTGGGCTGTGCATGTCTCCATTTTCCTCAGGAACTGCATCCACTGTGGTGGCCACATCTGGAGGGGAAAGAACAGTGGTCAGCTCTGGGGGTGGATCTTTGAAGCCAAATGTGCCTGAGAATTCACAGGGTCCGATTTCATACCCTCCTTCTCCAGAAGAGCCTACAATGTTCCCAGACACCCTCCCACTCCCACTCCTTCTGGAATGGCACTGAATGCCCATTTCCCTCCTCCCAAGAGGTCCCCTCTCCTTGTTCCTTTACCTGCTGGGTTCTCTGTGATGACATCTGTCAGGCTGAGCCTGAGGAGAAAGAACAGGTGACCATGGGGGGGGTGGCACCTGGAGGCAGAGAACTGGCAGAGGGTGTACATGGTCACCCCCAAGGGGGTCTCACCTCTCCTGCGGCCTTGGTTCCTCATCCTTGCTGCTGGGGGGCCCTGAGGACAGTCAGGGGTGTGAATTAGGAGGGAGGCTGTCTTCCCAGCACCCCAAATGCCTTCCCCATGACCCCAGCCTGACCCTGAGACTCACCACGTTTTTTCTGACGCTGACGGTGGACTAAGAGGAAGGCCAGGAGGAGGAGACAAAGCAGAGAGGCCACACGGATCCCGACAAGAATATAACGATGCTCTGGTGATAGGCCTGGGGGAGCTTGGGAGATGGAATCAAGGTATCAGCAGTGTACATTTACTGAGCACCTACTGTATACCACGCCTGTGCTGGGGGCTTGGCATGTTCACACCCACACAGATAATCCCTCACATACCTCGCAGTCCTGCGGAACACAGGAACCATCACCCCCATTTTACAAAACCAGGGTCCTGAGTGGGGATGTCCTCTGCCCACAGGACGATGGCATAGCTAGAATGTGATGGACTCCAAACCCCATTCTTTCTCCCTCCCCCAAGAGGCAAGCTGCAGGTCCATGGCCCTTGAACCCACCACTCACTGCTGGTCTTAGTGTCCGGGGAATTTGTCTGCATGTGTCCTAGAAGTGAGGAATCAGGGGGACATGAGTCAAAGTCCAGAGCTGGGCAGAGGAGGCTCTGAGTGTCCCTGCTCCCCACCCAGGGGGTCTCTCTGGCTCTGGGACCCTCACCTGTTCCCTCCAATGCTGCTCGGCTGGTGGAGCTTTCTGTGAGAATGGAAATACCGTATATCAGTCCTGTCCAAATTGGCAACCACATTTTATTGAATCCATTCATATTGAAGTTAAATAAATCTGTGTATGTGTCAACCACAGATATGTAAATATGTGTGTATATTTGTATATATATATAGACATACATATGATTTTTTTCAATAATCCTTCACCTTGGTGACCCAGCCCCAACCCCCTCTTCCTGACAGCTGTCATTCTGTTCTATGTATCTGTGCCTCTGTTTCTATTTTGTTTGTTACATTATTTGTTCATTAGACTCCACACAGAATTGAGATCATATGGTATTTGTCTTTCTCTGACTCTCCCAGCCCAGGGCAGAAGGCTCTACCCCAGAGCCTGATCCCAATGACAGACCCCCCCAAAACCCCACCAGGATGCCATCTCTGCTTACCAGCTGTGGAGAGGGGTTTTGTGTGTGTGGTTTGGGTGGAGGTAACAGCTCTTGGAGCTCCTGTGAACAGGGCAGGAGAAGGCTGATGCTATCTGGGGACTGCCTGGGGTCCGTCCCACCAGTCCTGGCCTCTTTCCACCCTGAACTTCCACCCACAGACCACATCAGTCCATCCCTCTGTCCCAGATGAGTCCTCATATTCCTGAGGAATGGGGGCCAGGAGTCACGGAGAGCCCCCTGCTCCTTTCTGCTGAGAGGAAGTGGTCACTCCTCTCACCTCCCACCACCATGCTGCTCCTGACCCCATGAGTCAGCATGGAATTGATCCTGTAAAACCCAGGAGCACATGGAGGGGGTCAGAGTGTCGTGATGGACTCTGAGTCCAAGACATCTCAGGCCTGAACACACTGGGGAAGGACAGCTTCAGCCCCGAAATTCCACAAAGCAACATTCAGCCCTGCCATGGGCCCCTGGACCCCATGAGTTTCCAAAAAGGATCAATCATGCATACAGGACACATTACCTGGGTCCCATAGAGTCTGGCCCAGGAAAAAGGACAGTAAACATCATCCTTCAGGGTGTGACACCTGTCCCCTTGAAGGGGGTCTGTCCCCACCTGACCTCTGGGAGTCCACTCCCCACCCAGCCCTGCAGGGACAGCTCTGTGTCCACAACAATGCCGGGCTCAGTGTCCAGGCCATTGTGGTGTCAGGAAGGGTCCAGGGCTCCAGGGCTCTGAGCTGGGGGTGAGGATCAAAGGACATGAGTGCAGAGGGACAGGGGAGTCACAGGGCTGGTGGTCAGGAGGAGGTCAGGGAGCCTGGGACAGAGGATACAGCCGGGGACATGGAATAGGGACCTGGAGCAAACCTGAGGGTGGAGTGGTGATGCTCTCGTCCGTCACCTTCAGCTCCAGGGTCTCACTGGGCTCAGACCAGGTGGACTCTTTTTCATAGAGGCAGCGATAACCCCTGGCATTGCCATCACTCATGGCATCGATGTGGAATGTGGTCTCTGTCTCGTGAGAGCCATGTGGAGGCATCACAGTCTGATCCCAATGAACAGATTTATTCTCCTTGTCCTCCACACGGAATCGGTCAGCCCCAGCTGGGCCCTGGCACACGATGGTCACAGGCTGTCCCCGGAGGATCACAGGTCCCGGCTCAGCCCTGATGGAGGGTTTGAGCAGGACCCCTGGGAGGAAATTGAGATCTCAGGGTCCCTCAGGAGGAAGTAACCAGAACCACAGTCCCCCATTTCCTCAGTTTACTTCCTTGTTTTTAACAAACATGCAGAGTGCTCCGACCATCGCCACGACCCAGTTTAGAACATTCCACCATCCTTTCCCCAAACACCACCCCCAACACCCAGTCCAGGGGACTGTGAATCCTCATCACTGCAGAGGGACCCCCCTGACACAGGACCCCGAGTTCTGGTCACATGTTGGGCTTTTCTCAGGGTGAAACAGGGTGGGGGGAAGTCAGTGCAGGCTGGGGTCCTGGACACATCTTTCTGCCATGGCCACTTTCTAGGGGATAGAGACTCTTGGAGGGAGGCAGAGGGTGAGGATGACGGGTCACATGTGGGGACAGCTAACCAGGAGTCTGAGATGTGGGAGTGACCTGGGCTAGAACTGAAGGACAGCTGGTGACACTGTGGGGACCAATGGGACAGCAGAGTTGTACTGGAAGTCCAGTGGGGGGTGGAGCTCCACCCAGGTCTGGTCACATGACCCCAGTAGGTGGGGATTCCCAACTCCAGGGCAATCCTCTGAGCATCACTCAGCTCTGTCCCCACTGCATTCTCTACCTTCCTCGCAGCCTGTTCCCATTTCTAGTATTGAGGGTCCTAAAACCCCATGTGTGTCACATGGCTGGGGAGTAGGGAACAAAGGGCTGGTAGATCTGAATGAGGAACATGGCACCCACAGCTCATGATCCCGGACAGAGGTAGGCACTGGATGACACACCCCACTCATTTCCCCACTCCCTCCCTCCCTCATTCTTTCATCCACATCCCAGTTCCTCTCCATCCATCTACAGAGGAGCTCCATGTGCCACTGCCCCCACAAACATGAGACTCACACACAAGGACCTGCCTTCTTGTCTGGAGGGAAGAGGGAGCACAGAGGCTGATGGAGGGATCATGCAAACACACAGCCACCTGCCCCAGGTGAGTGTGGGAGTCTCAGATGAGGGACAGCTGACCTCATGTGGGAAGCACAGGGAAGAGGTCCAGATCTGAGACTCGAAGGCCAAGTGTGAACCAGGCGAGCTCAACAAGAGGGGAGTCAGCCTGGGAGGAGATCAAGAGAGCTGGACAAGGGTGTCTGTGGAAGTGAAAGAAAGGCTGTGTCTCCACAGGTCAGTGGGTCAGGCAGCGTGACAACAGACCGATCCAGACACAGAGAGGGCCTGGGTCTCGTCCTAGCTGAGAGTGAGCTGTCAGAGGACTCTAAGAAATATTAACATCTCCTGTAGAAATAGAACATATATGAAAAAATAAATTAGGAAAATTAGACTCACCCTCCTGCATGTGGATGGACTGGGCCAGGCAGAGCACTGGAAGAGAAGCTGTGGTGAGAAAAACACCCAGTGCCCAGCCTCCTCCCAGGGATACACTCAGGAGCCCTGATGGAGGCAGTGCTCAGCCCCCAAGAATTTCCAGCTCCCTCCTCAGCATTACCTCTGAGCACAGCCCTTCTTCTGGCTCTGAGTTTCAACAAAGCCCCAATCTCCTCTTCCAAACAAGGACTCAGACTGAACCTGTCCTGACACCCAGGTACCCACTTCTAGGACTCAGCCTTCCATGGTCAGACTTGGGTCAGGGCCAGAACTCAGGGGTCAGACTCCCAGAAAAGACCAGGAGCCCCCTGGGCAGAAGTCAGGACTCAAAAGGGATGAAGACACCTCCCAGTCTCCCACCCCCTCTGTCCCAGGATGTTATCCCTTCATTCCAGCACTCACCGAGGACCAGGAGGGAGGTGGGATGGAGGCCCATGGTCAGCCCTACAGGTGCACCATCCTGGAGCTGGAGGGTGAAGGGCAGAGCCCACAGCTGACACAGTGGTTAGGGAGTGTGGGTCTGCGGTTTTCCCAGGGTTGTTACATCAACGTCCTCCTGCAAAGGGGAAGAGCTAGTTTCAGACCGTTCTCAGTGCAGGTTGTGTACATCATGTGAGAGAAACTGACAGAGACTGCAGGGAGCTGCACCAGTGAGGCAGATGGCTCCGTGTGCGGGGCTCACTCAGCAGGAACGGGGTCACTAGGTGGCCTGTCTGAAGGACCCCAGAGTGCTCTCTAGGGAATGATCTTCCTTCTGAAGCTTCAGTCTCAGCTTCATGGTGACCTCAGGGTCCCCTGAGGTTAAAGACAGGCTAAATTTGTAGGTCAGCAAGTTGGACTAGGAATTGTACTTTGGGAATGTGTCCTCTGTTTCTATTGGTTTGTGTTTTTATTTTTGTTTTGCTTTTTAAGATTTTATTTCTTTTTGGAGACAGGGATAAGGGAGGAGAGAGGGAGAAAATCATCGATATGTGACAGAAACATTAATCATTTGCATTTTGCACTCCCCCAAACGGGGAACCAGCCTGCAACCCTAGCAGGTGCCCTGACCAGGAATTGAACCAGAGATTCATTGGTTTGTGGGACAGCCCCAATCTCCCTGAACCACACCAGTCAGAACCTCTTTGTTTTTTTGTTGGTTTGTTTTCCTCATTTTTCCCCGTGGATGGAACTGATGACTGACAAGATGAGGAAGAGTCTAAACAATTTCTGCATCCTCCCCACAACTCATTCTGCCCCCTGGCAGCCCTACCCCATCCCAAACCTGTGCTTTCTGTCTTCCCTGAGAGTGAAAGCAAGGGGAGGTCAGTAAACACGTATTTATATGTGTCATTCCCCCAGTTCCCGTACTATTTCTTATTAAAATAAATATAATTTTAAAAGACCCAGAAGCTCACAGTTACACGGAGCTCATGGGAGAGGTTGGGGAAGCGGAAAGGGAAGTGATGGGCAGTGTCCACTTCTCTCCCCTTCAGTTTGGGGACTGTCCCCAGATGCTTCCTTTTTCTCCCCGGCATCTGTCCTCTTTGGGAGCGAGTCTGGAGGCAAAGCTGCTACACAATTCTCATGGGAATAAAGCAGCATTGAGGGTGAAAGCTGTTGTGAGGTAAGCTTCAACTCTCCCATAGACGTGTGGTCTTTTCTTTCTGAGGAGCTGTTGGCTCTCGCCTTCATTGCAGCCAACACTGCCTTTATGGGAACGTAAAGAGGGAAGAGGCTTTGAAATCACACCCCATGTGGTGTCCTGGAGCTCGGCACTGCCTGGGCTGCATTCTGTGTGGCAGGGGAGAAATACGCTGACCCTGTGACCTCTCCTCTGGCTCATGGGCAACAGGCCCACTATGTCTCCCAAAACTTTATTCACCCAATTTGAAGACAAGAGCCGATAAAGAATCTTAAAAATAAAATCTGCACTCTGGCTAGTGTAGTTCAGTGTATTGAGCACTGGCTTGTGAACCAAAGGGTCACCAGTTCTGTTCTCAGTCAGGGCACAGGCCTGGGTGGTAGACCAGTTCTCCACCCAGGGAGTGTGTGAGAGGCCACCACACATTGACGTTTCTCTCCCTCTCTTTCCACCTTCCTTCCCTTCTGTCTAAAAATAAATGAATTAAATCTTTAAAACACATAAAATAAAATAAAATAAAATAAAATAAAATCTGCATTTTGACCCTGATGGTAGATTCAGAAAATCAAGGCACATTTGAAAGGGTAAAGAGAACTTTTTCCTTGCCGGCCCTCTCCCAAGGTGATGTCAAGTTGAAAGGGAGAGGAGTGAGTGAGTGCCTGGCTCCCCAGCTGAGTGGGATTCTGTACCTACAGAGATACCCTACAAAGGGAGAGGGGAAATTGCAAGCATATATTGTGTACAGGGTTAATGTCCAAAATATATAAAGAAATCATACAACTCAGTAACAAAAAGTACTGATTACAAAAGAGCACAGGATGTCAATATTTTTCCAAAGAAGACTTCCAAATGGCCAACTGACACATGAAATGATGCTCAACATCACTAATCGTGGAGGAAATACAAATTAACACCAAAATGCATTATCACATCACACCTGTTGGAGGTGAGTAGTGTTGGTGAGGATGTGGAAATAAGGAAACCCTCGTGCACCATTAGTGGGAATGTAAATGAATGCAGCCACTATGGAAAACAGTATGAAGATTCCTCAAAAAGTTAAAAATATAGACCAATTACGGCATTCTGCAATTATACTTCTGGGTATATATCCAAAGAAAGTGAAAGCAGATTATTCAACAGATAAAATTACTGCCATGTTTACTGCAGCATTATTCACAATAGTCAAGCTACGGAATCAGCCTAAGTGCCCATCAAAGGATGAAGAAGACACACACAGCACTAGCTGGTGTGGCTCAGTGGATTGAGCATGGGTCTGCAAACAGAGGTGTCACTGGTTCAAATCTCAGTCAGGGCACAAGCCTGGGTTGTGGGCCAGCCAGGTCCCCAGTAGAGGGCAGGTGAGGGGCAACTACACATTGATGTTTCTCTCCCTCTCTTTCTCTCTCCCTTCCCCTCTCTCTAAAAATAAATAAATAAAATCTTTAAAAATGACAAAGTAGGTAAAATAAGATTATGTGTCTCTTTACCTGCTTTTCACATATTATTTTTTCCTTCTGAAAAAGGAAATGAACAAAAATAGTCACCTCCGATACGTGGGGGTACAAGGGGAAGGGAAAAGAATCGAGTGGTCATCTCTGATTTTACCATTCCAGGCAGTTGTCACTTCTGAAACCTGAAAATATTATACATATGCAAAACACAATTAAGTCACAAAAGATGAAAAATCACACTCTGACATGAATATAAACAAATAAAAATAAACATGAGCTTATTGATATTCACTCACCATGGCTACATGGTAAAACCAATAAATATAAAAAGGAAATCTATGACTTTGCTAGGAATTGGGTTTTCCTATAAGGGACACAGGTACAACATAAATGACCCTGTAACATGACCCAGGTGGGAAATACCTGTGTGAATGGACAGGGTGCATCCTCTCTGATACTAAGAGGTCCACAGGGAACAAAACCCCAGTAGCCCTGTCTTCACATAACCCCAGGTCACTCTTTCTAAATATTGCTCCCAGTGAAAGGGACCCGAGACAGTGGGGGCCCCTGGTCCAGAGCAGGAGCACAGATGGGCCCCGGCTCCTTGTCTATCTACACAGCGTGATGGGGGCCCAGCTAAGGAGTATGAATGTCTCAGAAAGTGCAGCGGGAAAGGCCCTTCCCTGGCAAAGTCTGGGGGCCCCTGTTCCCAGCAGGACACAGGCACCTTGCAGGCACTGTGCCTGCCCTGGAGGAGCCCCTTCCTCCCTGAGACTGGCTCAGATCCCAGCAGGGAGGGGACTGCACTTCCCTGGAGAGGAGGAGCCTCAGTGAGAGGAAAGGGTGCCTCCCCTCCCTGTGTGCTGTGGTGCTGGGACTAGGGAGGGCAGGAGTCTCCCTTCCCAGCCCTGCTCTACAGGAGACCAGGTGACTGGCCCTCCTCCTGTCCTGGGTCCCTCCCTGCTGCACTGGGTCCCAGCGTGGGTGTAGTGCAGCCACACACACACAAGTTCTCAGAGTGAAGCCTTGTCCCCCAGACCGGGGGCCCATGGGTTGCCCAGCGGGGCTTTGGACTCTGGAGGCTGAGTATGGGTGAAGGCTCACAGGGTGAGGTCAGAGGTTTGTAAGAAACTTCTGCCCCTGTTTCCAGAAGTTCCAGGGCATACGGACACCCTGGAATGTCAGAGGCCAGGCTTCTGAGATTCCTCATGCTGCTCTCACAAATGCGGACCACCATGGTGACTCACAGCCCCAGGGATGTGCGATCTCAGGATGTGGGAGGTGGGGAGACCGAACTGGCTGACCTCGAGGTGTGTGCAGGGCTGCCTTCTCTCCTGGAGGCTCCAGGGAGCATCCTGCCCTTGTCTCCCAGTGTCTGAAGTCCCCATATTATGTGAAACGAGGCCCCTTCCTCCCTTGTCTTCAAACCCAGTGGGTCCTTCTCAGGAGGCAACACTGGGACGAAGTGTCTGCTTCCTCCTCCACCCTGAGGAGCCTATGATGCCCTTGACTTTTGTGAGTCACGCTGTCCTGGGGGCACATGAACCAGTGTCCACATCCCTGCTGTCACTTCCCTGCATGGGAACCTGAACTGGGGCTGCTGGATGGAGGGAGATTCCCTGTTCACGTTCTGAGGAGCAGCCCTGCAGATCTACTCAGAGGCTGCACCACTTTGTGTCCCCACCAGGGGGCCCAGGGGCTCCTGCTCCCCCACAGCCTTGCCTCACTCACTGTTCTTAGATTAGTATGTTTAATTTATTCTTTAATTACAGTCAACATACAATATCTTATTTCACGTGCACAGCAGAGGAGTTAGACATTTATATACCTTATGAAGTGATCCCCCCAGTATGTCTAGTGCCCACCATTAAAAACTCATTTCAGCAATAGTCATCCTGAGGAATGTGCAGGGATGTCTCATTGTGGTTCCAGCTGAGTCCCTTCCCTGGACCTTACATCCAAGTCAGCTGGAACCCAAGGGGACAGATGCAGGAGGTGTGGCTCTGGGTCTCAGGGGCTCCAGTGTGAGCCTCAGGCCCTGGGGAAGCCCCACCTAAAGGCACGAAGTTTAATTTCTCTATCAGGATCTCCCTTGTGTCCATCCCTGAGGTCTTTGTGGCCTCCTTGGGCCGGCTGTGCCCAGCCTCTGCCAGAATTGCCACCAGGATCAGCAACAGCCAAGCCAATGAAGACACAGTTCTCCACTGAGCAACTCTGGGAGGCAGGAGCTGGAAGTAGAGGACAGAGGGTCACTGACAGGTGGACACGAACCAGCCAGTCCCAGGACCTATGAGACAGGAGTTCCTCCTTTATTGGGCAGGCCCATCCCCTACCAGCACTGCCCTGTACATGCTCCCAGGTGACTTAACTGTCTGGGAGGCCTCCCCTATGAGTGAGGAGGTGACTTCAAAGGTTGTTCCTGGGAGTGAGAAAGGACCAGTGTTTGTCTCCTGCACAGACCTTCCCTTCCCTGGGAGCCCCCAACCCCTGCCCTCCCCACCTCCAGTCCCCAGGGGCCACACACCCAGGCTTCACTACCAGCCACCTACAGGCCCCTAGTATAAGGCACAGCTGCAAACTCAGACTTGCTCAGAGATCCAGGGAGAGTCTCCCATCCTGGCTTTCAAGCCCTCAGGCTGACCAGGCCTCTTGCAGTTGAGGATGCAAGATCTCCCTGCCTGCTGAGTGTCCATACACTGAGACAGAAGCAGGACCCCTCCCCACTGGCATCCTGCTGCCCACTCCCCAACAGAGCCACAAGGAGAGGAAGCTGCAGGCTAAGGTCCCTACTCCCAGGCCCAAAAGGGGCTCCGAGTTCCGGGGCTAAGCTCTCCAGGGCCTCCTGTGAGGGGGCAGGAAAATCTCTAGAACAGGTCCATCCTCAGCCTATGCCTCTCAGCCTGGCTCTGCAGCTCCCACAGCGTCCACACCGGCCTCTTTCTCTGCATCTCTCATTACAGAGGGGCCCCCAGGACTCCTCTGAGAGGGGACAGGTCATGTGAGGACATTGGGATGCAATTCTCTGCTTCTATGTGTTTGAGGGCCTGGACACCCCTCAGAATGTCTTGTCACAACATTAGCACAAAGCAGTTGGACCCTGGTCCAGAGACAAACAGGATGGGTGGGAGCCACCTCACCTGGCCACAAGGCCAAAGGGTCCTGAAGGCTGACCCCACCAAGCAGGGCCACTGTGTCTCCCTCAGTGCCCTAGGTCAGTCAGGGGTCATAGGTCAGGATAAACTGGACATGCCCACTGAACCACTGGAGTCTGAGTCACAGCTGCATAAAGAGCAAAGGGAGAAACAATACAAGGTTTTGAAGGAAGAATCCCTCCCTCCTTGCTCCACTCCTTGAGCCAGTCACTTAAACCCTGACTCCAGGCCCTCCCGGGAGCTGACCACACAGACAGGAAGGACAGCCTCACCTCAGATGTCCCCAAAGCACTGTCCATACCTGGTAACAGACCTCATGGGTCCTGTGACTAGCCCATGGTGAAGGGACCATCCACAGGGGACACACTCCCTCGGGTCCCCACAGAGTCTGCCCAAGAGCACAAAAATGGCTGAAAACCATTCTGAGTGAAAGGACAAATGATCCCTTGAAGGGGGTCTGTTCCTAAAAGTATACTCTCTTTTGAGCTGCAAGACAAATCCCAGCCCACCCCGTGCTGGGGCTCCATGTCCAGGCCATCATGGTGTCCAGATGGGAACAGGGTTCCAGGGCCCCGAAGCTGGTGTGAAGTCAAAGGCACAGGAGTGCAGCGGGGCATGGGATCCACAGGGCTGGGGCCAGCAGGAGGGCAGGGAGCCTGGGACAGAGGACAGTGTTGGGGACAGGGTGCAGGGACCTGGGGCAAGACGTCCTCACCTGCCACCTTCAGCTCCAGGGGCTCACTTTGATTAGACCAGCTGGGCCCTTTGAGATACTGGCAGAAATAACTCCTGGCGTGACATCACTCACTGTGTCAATGGGGAACCTTGCCTGTGCTTGCTGTGAGCCGTGTCAGGAAGTGATTTTCTGATCCCAGAAAACAGATCTATTCTCCTTCTGCACCAGATGGAATAGATCAGCTCAGGCTGGGCCCCGGCACACGATGGTCACAGGCTGTCCCCAGTGGATCACAGGGCCTGGCCTGGCCCTGATGGAGGGTTTGTGCAGGATCCCTAGGTAGAAGCAGAGAAGATCTCAGGGTCCTGCAGGAGGAAGTCATGACTCTCACAGCCCCTTGTTTTCTGGGTTCATTTCCATGTTTTCAGCAAACTTGCAGAGCTGTGCAACCATGCCTACAACCCAATTCAGAATGTCCCATCATCCTTCCCCAAACACCAGCCCCACGCCCACTCCAGGGGACTGTGAATCCTCATCACTGCAGAGTGACCCCCCTGACACAGGACCACAAGTTCTGGTCACATGTTGGGCTTTTCTCATGGTGACACTGGAGAGGCCAGAGCAGCCTGGGGTCCTGGGCACTACTCCCTGACATGGACTCTTCCTAGGGGACAGAGACACTGGGAGGGAGGCAGAGGGTAAAGGTGATGGGTCACATGTGGGGACATGTTGGGAACCGCCCTGACTGGTATCAGAGGCTGAAACCCCCGCCTAGCTAAGGCTAAGGGAACGCCCTTGGAACCGTAAGCCAGCAAGGAGACAAAAGCTTATCTTCCTGGCAGGAATGCTGCTTCTGCTGCTTTATTCATGACTGAACCCCAAAAAAGCTTGGTCGGTTAGCCAAAGACGGGTAAGATTCCCCACGGGGGGAATGACCTAAGCCAGGCACGATCACTTTGGGAGGCCCCCCCAAAAGAAGGACTTGGGGGGCTGCAGCAAAAGGGGGTGATGGACCCTCGTTCCTTGGCTCTGACATAGCCTGAGTTCTCAGCGTCTGGGAGAAAATCTCCTTATCTCTTGGTTGCCTTAGTTCCCTTGCTCCACCTAAGCCTGAAACAATGACAGGGTGGTGCAGCTCGGTACTGAGAAGTGCGGATTCCCCAGGGTGATCAGGCCTAAGAAAGAACATGTAAATTACTGTGAAACTTTCTTTGTTTAGAATGCTCTCAGTTGAATGAGAGGGGTCCTAGGAGGAAGTTAGTTTGTTCCTCAGTCTTACAGCTCTTTGACCCCAACTCAATAGGCCGGCAGAGTTCTTTGTTTTCTATGGTTCCTTACTTCCCCCTAATGAGTACTGTACTTTACCTGAATTATTATGCAAAATGAGCCTAATAAAAGCAGGTATGGACGGTAAATCAGTGCGCTCCCCACTAGGGGGGGTGGCCATTCCGTCCCTACTTCCCCACAGAAACTAGTCTGTCTCTGTGCATGTGTGTTTTTTCTCGAGTATTGTCGAGCCATCCACAGCGTTCTGTGGTCACTGCTGGCCGGTGACCCACGCGCAACAGGGACAGGGAAGCAGTAGTCTGAGATGTGGGAATGACCTCGGCCAGGTCTGAAGGGCAGCTGGTGACACTGTGGGGACCAATGGGGGCTGCAGAGCTACACTGGACAACCAGTGTGGGTGCTGCTCTGCCCAGATGTGGTCACATATCCCCAGTGAGTGGGGATTCCTGACTCCAGGGCAATCTTCTGAGCAGCACACAGCTCTGTTCCCACTGCATACTCTACCTTCCTTGCAGCGTGTTCCCATTCCTAGCATTGAGGGTCCTGAAATCCCATATGTGCCACGTGTCTGGGGAAGGGGGAAGAGAGGACTTATAGCCCTAAAACAGGAAGATGGCACCCACAGCATGTGATCCCTGATAGAGGCTGATGTTACTCAAGACTCTCCAGTTGCTCCCTTGCTCCTTCTCTCCACCACATCCTAGTTCCTCTCTGTCCATCAACAGAGGCCCTTCACATGCCACTGGCCCCACGAACATGAGCCACACACACAAGGACCTGCCTGTTTGTCTGGAGGAAATAGGAAGCACAGAGGCTGATGAAGGGATTGTGCAAACCCACAGTCACACATGTATACAAGGGCCCCAGGTTAAGTGTGGGATCTCAGGGATGACAAGGCACAGAATACTTTGTGTGAAAGTCAGAAGGGAGAAGCACTGAGCTGGGACCCAAAGGCCAAGTGTGAACCAGCCCAGCCCAGCTAAAGGAGAGTCAGCCTGGGGGGAGATCTAGAGGTCCAGACATGGGTATCTGTGGAAGTGAAAGAAAGGCTGAGTCTCTGCAGATCAGTGAGTCAGACAGCGTGAGAACAGACCCATCCAGACAGAGAGAGGGTTTGGGGTCTCAACCTAGCTGAGGGAAAGCTGTCAGAGGATTCTAAGAAAAATTAACACTTTGTCAGAAAACACATCATTAAAAATGGAATTTAAAAGATAGACTCACCCTCCTACATGTGGATGGTCTGGCCCAGGCAGAGCACTGGAAGAGAAGCTGTGGTGAGAGAAACACCCAGCGCCCAGCCTCCTCCCGGGGCTGCACTCAGGGGCCCTGATGTAGGCAGGGCTCAGCCCCTGAGAATGTCCAGCTCCGTCCTCAGCATTCCCTCTGAGCACAGCCCTTCTTCTTGCTCTGACCTTCAACAAAGCCCCAATCCCCTCTCCCAAACAAGGACTCAGTCTGAACTTGTCCCCACACCCAGGTACCCACTTCTAGGACTGAACCTTCCATGGTCAGACTTGGGTCAGGATCAGAGCTGAGGAGTAGGACCCCTGGGAGGGACCATGAGTCTCCTGGGTTGGAGTCAGGACTCAAAAGGGATGAAGATGCATCCCCAGGTTCCCATCTCCTGTGTCCAGGGACACTATCCCTCCATTCCAGCACTCACTGAGGACCAGGAGAGACCTGGGACAGAGGTCCATGCCCAACCTGCAGCCTGGACCTTCCTGGAGCCTGAGGATGAAGGACAGAGCCTGCAGCTACAACAGTGGTCAGGAAGTGTGGGTCTGAGGTTTCTCTGGAGTTGCTGCATCAACATCCTGGAACAAAGGGAAAGAGCTAATGCAAACAGTCCTGAATGCAGGATGAGTACAACCCGAGTGAGACACTGAGAGAGACTGGTGCCCTGACTGGTGCAGGAGGCTGTGCCCATGCTCAGGACTCAAGGAGCCACAGGAGGCTGAGACCGTGTGCAGTTCAGGGTTGGGCTGCAGCAGAGATTGATGGCTGTGCTCACCAGGGCTGGGCCCCAGTGACTGTGGCCCCAGATCACAGGCACTGTCTGTGGTCAGTGCTGGCAGTGGGGCTCAGGCTGCTGACTGCAGGCATCTCAGCCTTGGATGTATACCCCCCATAAGAAATGTATGTGGCACATGGATGTGAGGGAAGCTGACATGCACATTCAAGTCCCCAGATGCCACCAGCCCATTAACTTCAGTCTCCTGGAGCTTCCAGCCAGAGAGGGCTCACACCACCGTGTCATTTCCCACTACTGCCAAGGCCAAGTGTGTCCTGGGAATTGCCCACTCTTTCAGGACAGAATCAAATGGGCTGGAGAGCTCAGCAAGATATATGCATCGAGCAACATGAACACCATGCAGTTTATCCACAATGGTGCCTACATCTGTGATGCCAAAGCCCTCCTGACACCGTCTCTCAGCTGGGACACATTTGGCTCTATGTGGTGGAGAAAGAGGTTTGGCCCGAGTCTCGGGGTGGGGTGGTGGTGGGCATAGTGACAGCTGTAGTTGGAGGCCTCTCCCTGGTCATCACTGTCACTCTCGCTATCCTCTACCAAAGGAAGAGTCCTAAGGGTGATGACATGGGCTGCAGCCCTTCAGAGAGGATGTCACCAGTTAAGTGGGCTCATGGAAGTCCCCCTCTGGAAGTTGCCCAGTCATGTGTGTGCAGTTAGAGCACCCTAGAGGACATCACAGTGACAAGATCAACAAGTCCAAGTCTGCAGTGTATGTGGATATCAGGAAAAATTAGGGGAAGATTCAGACAATACCCAAAGCAAGACACACAGTCAAACTGGACTCTGGTGCAGGGACATGGGCCAAAGCAACAGGGGGCCTCAGACAAGAAGAAGCACCGAGAGGGAGAAGAAAATTTGGCAAAGGACGTGTGTGAATATTCTATTTACTGTTCTGATGTGAGGAGCCAGTGGTGAGTGATGAAGACCTGTTGTGAGTCTATGTATATAAATCATATGGCTGCTTTTTGTACTTTCTGCACTCAGGGTCATGTTCAGTGGGAGAAATTCAGCATCATTCCAGTCTCCATCTTAGGTGTGGTTTCCCTTCAGGGAGACGTACTGATCTTTAGTTTCCCATCTCCCTGAGCCACACCAGTCTTGACCTCCTTGTTTTTCGTTGGTTCATTTTCCACAGTTTTCCCCTTGGATGGAACTGTTGAAGGAGGAGATGAGGAAGTGTCTACACAACTCTCGCATCCTCCCCGCACCTCATTCTGCCCCCTGGCAGCCCCACCCCATCACAAACCTGTGCTTTCTGTCTTCACTGAGAGTGAAAGCAAGGGGAGGTCAGTAAACACGTATTTATACGTGTCATCCCTCCAGTTGCTGGATTATTTTCACTCAAATAAATATTTGAGTTCACAGTTACTCAGAGGTTATGGGAGAGTTTGGGGAAGGGGAAGTGATGGGCAATCCACTTCTCTCCCCTTTAGTTTGGGGACTGTCCCCAAGCTGCTTCCCTTTTCTTCCCAGCAACCATCTTCTTTGGGAGGGAGTCTGGAGGCTAAGTCCCTACACAATTCTTATGGGAATAAAGCAGCATTGAGAGTTCAGGCTGTCCTGAGTGAGCTTCAACTCTCCCACAGACGTGTGGTCTTTTATTTTCTGAGGAGCTGTTGGTTCTTCCCATTGAGTTTCACCCAATGCTGCCTTTGTGGAACCATAAAGAGGGAAGTGGCTTTGAAACCACACCCCATGTGGTGTCCTGGAGCTGGGGACTGCCTGAGCTGCATTCCCTCTTGCAGGAGAGAAATATGCTGGCCCTGTGGCCTCTCCTGATGCTCATGAGCCACAGGTCCACTGTGTCTCCTAGAACGTCCTGTACCCAAGATCAAGACAAGGGCCCTTAGCAGCCCTCTCATGAGTGCTGGGGAGGGGAGGGTGGGATGCTGGATGGTCTCTGTTCTCTCAATGATGCCGAGAAGACAGAACTCTGGTGAGCCTTGGTGTGTAAGGCAGAAAGGACACCCCTTCTTGAGAGCAGGTATGGGGTTTACCTGTGATTCTTCCTGACAGTCACTTTTACAGACAAAAGGGGCATCTCCCTTACTTTCTCCCTGGGGTTCTGACCCTGTGTTCCAACTCACTGAGGCCCAGGAGGGCAGTGGAATTGGAGTACCCCACCATCCTTTCACCATCTTCGCTGTCCTTGTCTGTGGGGAGGAGGACAGGGCTCCACAGGTTGGGAACTGTGCAGGGGCCACCTCGTGGGCTCATTGCTGTGGTCTCACAGAAAGTGAGTCTGGGTGTCCCCAGACCTGACTCTAATGTTCCTGCTTTAGGTCCAGAGAGGCTTTGGTTTCTGAAAAGCATTTCTGCTGAGATATTCCATAACCATGCAGAGCCCATGTCTGCATACACACCATCTGGTATTAATTCATAACAGATGGATAAAGATAGAGACATAAATAAAAGATAAGTGTATGGAGATATAAATAGATGATAAATGATAGGTAGGTAAATAATAGTACATAGATGATAGTAAACATATAGATAGAGGTGATAGATGCATAGATATAGATGTAGAGGACAGGTAGATTGATAGATAAGTCAATGATAGGTACATAGATAGATATCTACCATAGGTAGACATACATACATAGATAAATATACAGATTGAAAATTACATAGACACATACATAGATCAATGGTTACATAGAAAGACACATAGTCACTTTGATCCATAGATAGTAACATAGATACATAAATACTTAGATACAGACAGAAATACATGGACAGTATAAGCAGATGTGCCTGACTCCAAGGACTGCCCTGGAGAATCTGTGGGAGACCAAGTGTGTGAGGGGAGAGACTCCTACAAGAGTGGGCAGTGGAGAAATCCTAATGATGACAGACAGTGTTATGGATGCCATCTATTGACACTGGGGACTGTCACATACAATGAAAGAGAGTGAGTAGGAAAACATTAGAGGAAATTTAAATTAAGCATGTTTAAGTATCTGTCAAAATAAAGAGGGATATTAAACATTTCAGGCAAGAACATAGATTATATTACAGAATAGGACTGTTGAGCAGACTTCGAAACTTTAGAGATGAACACACAACACAATGAACACATTCAAAATATCGCTCCCATCCAGGATGAGACTCAGCTGAAGAAACACTGATGAAAGCGGAGGACAAGGTTGAGGAAATTTTCAGGATATGGTGCACAGAGACCAGAAGTGGAGATTCGAGATACCTGAGGCCCAGAATGAAAAGGACAAACGTCACATCTGCTAACAGTTGGAAGGAAAGGAGAGAAAATCACATCTAACAACAGTGCAGGAGATAAACCATTGAACCTTTACAGGCTTCAGGAAAGACCAGCTAAGGGGGAGGATGCATACCTTTGAAAATAAAATCTGCGCCCTGGCTGGTGTGTCTCAGCGGATTGATTGAGAGCCAGCTTATGAACCAAAGAGCCACCAGTTCCATTCTCAGTCAGGGCACATGCCTGGGTCACCTGCTGGGTCCCCAGGAAGGGGCTTGTGAGAGGCATGCACACATCCATGTTTCTCTCCCTGTGATTCCATGCACTACTATGACCAATACACACCAGCGTGGTGTCTCACATCCACACGGATGTGTGGTCTCAGGGTCAGGGAGGTCAGGAGTACAAACGAGCTGAAATTTAGGTGTCTGCAGGGCTGACTTCTCTCCTGGAGGCTCCAGGGAAAGTCCCTCCCTTGTCTTCCAGCATCTAGAGACCCCACATTCTGTGACACGCGGCCCCTTCCTCCCTTGTCTTCAAAGCCAGTGGGTCCTTTTCAGGAGGCGTCACTGGGACCCAGTGTCTGCTTCCTCCTCCACCTCTGAGGAGCCTGTGATGCCCTTGACCTTTGTGAATCACGCTGTCCTGGAGAACTGTGTACAAGTATATACGTCTCTGGTTTCACTTCCCTGCATGGGAACCGGGCCTAGGGCTGTTGGATGGAGGGAGATTCCCTGTTACAGTTCTGAGGAGCAGCCCTACAGATCCGCTCAGAGGCTGCACCACTTTGTGTCCCCACCAGGGGGCCCAGGGGCTCCCACTCCTCCACAGCTTTGCCATACTCACTGTTTTTAGGTTATTATGTTTATTCTTCGGTTACAGTTGATATACAGTATATTTTTTCAAGTGTACAGCACAGGGATTAGACATTTACATACATTATGATGTGATCCCCCAGTAAGCCTAGTGCTCACCATTTAAAAATGTTTTCAGCAATACTTGTCCTGAGGAGTGTAAGGTGATGTCTCACTGTGGTTTTGCCTGGAGTCCCTTCCCTGGACTTTAGATCTAAGTCGGCTGGGACCTGAGGGGACAGATGCAGGAGGCAGAGACCATTTCAGGAACAGAGGTAGGTGAGCAGAGACCCCGAGCAGGTGCAGTTCTGCAGGTGCAATTCCACAGATGACAGGTGTGGGTGAGACCAAAGTCTTCAGTAGCACATGCCCAGTCCCCAGAAAACAGGTGAGAATGCAGGGCTCCAGGAAGAGAAAGAGGGAGACAGAGGCTGCAGGGACCTGGGGCCTGTCTGAGATCCAGGAGAGAAAGGAGACCCAGGCAGGAGTGGGGCAGGGCTGTAAGTGGGTGAGAGTGAGGCCTGAAGCCAAACCCTGGAGAAGGAGATGGACCACACAGGAGGCCAGTCCCCGCTGCTCCTGCACCCTTCCGAGGACAGAGTCCTGTGCACAGGGAAGCCTCAGCAGGGGCACCATGAAATTCAGAGAACGGGGGTGGCTCTGGGTCTCTTGGGCTTTAGTTGGAGTCAGGGGCCATGGAGAGGCCCCTCCTGGTGGCTTGGAGTCAAATTTCCCTGGCTGGATCTCCCTTGTGTCCATCGCTGTGGTTGGTGTGGCCACCTGTGCCAGCTGTGCCCAGACACTGCCAGGAGCAGCAATACCACTCCAGATGGAACGAAGCAGACATAGTTCCCCACTGTGTAAATCCCGGAGGCGGGGTGGGGAAGGAGAGGACAGGGAGTCACTGACAGGTGGACAAGGATCAGCCAAGCCCAGGACCTATGAGACAGGAGCTCCTCCTTTATTGGTCAAGCCTATCCCCTTCCAGCACCGCCCTGAGCACACTCCCAGGTGACTTACCTGTCTGGAAACCCTCTCCTGTGGGTGGGGCGGTGGCTTCAGGGGTTGCTCCTGGGAGTGAAATGGGACCAGTGTCTGTCTCCTGCACAGACCCTCCCTTCCCTGGGAGCCCCCAGCCCCTACCGTCCCCACCTGATGACCCCTGGGGCCACACCCTCAGCTTCACTACCAGTCAACTACAGGACCCCAGCTCAGAGCACAGCTGCAAACTCAGACTCGCTCAAGGATCCAGGGAGAGTCTTCCCTCCTGGCTCCCACCCCCCAGGCTAAATAGGCCTCTTGCTCTAGGGGTTGTAAGATGTCATTGCCGGCCAATTGTACACTCACCAAGAAAAAAGCAGGACCCCTCCCCACTGTCACCCCGCTGTCCACGCCCCACAAAACCCACAGAAGAGGATGCCCCAGGAAGAGATCCCCACTCCCCAGCCTAAGAGGGACTCCAGGTGGAAGGCTTAGGTCTCCAGGGGCTCCTGTGAGGGGCAGGAGAAGCCTTGAGCCCAGGTTCCTCCTCAGCCTCTCAGCCAGGCCCTGCAGCTCCCACAGCATCCACACCCGGCCTCTTCCTCTGCACCCCTCAGTACAGAGGATGCCCCATGGACTCCCAGGAAAGGGGACAGGGACATGTGATGACAGTGGGTTAGAATTTTCTGCCTCTATGTGTCTGAGGGGCTGGACACCCCTCAGAATGTCCCACCATCCTTGATACATTACATGAAGCATCTGTTCCCTGGTCCAGAGACAAACAGGGTGGTGGGAGCCACTTCACCTGAACACAGGGTCAGGGAGTTCTGAAGGCTGGCCCCACATATCAGGGCCACTGTGTCCCCCAAAGTCCCCCAGGGCAGTGAGGGGTCATAGGTCAGGATAAACTGGACATGCCCACTGACCCAGGGGACTCTGAGTCACAGTGGCATAAAGAGCAAAGGGAAAGACAACACCAGGTTTTAAAGGAAGAATTCCTCCCTCCTTGCCCCATTCCTTGAGCCACTCACTTAAACCCTGACTCCAGGACATCTCAGGAGCTGACCCCACCTACAGAATGCATAGTCTCATCCCAGAGGTCCCCCAAAGCACCTTCTAGCCCTGGTCAGGGACCCCATAAACCCCACAACTTGCCCAGTGTTGAATGGACCACCCACAGGGGACACACTGCCTGAGGTTCCCACTGAGTCTGCCCAAGAGCACAGAAAAAACTGAAAACCATTCTGAGTGAAAGGACCAAAGGTCCCTTAAAGAAGTCTGTCCCTGAAAGTCCACTCTCCACCCAGCCCTGCAAGAGAGCTCCCAGCCCACCCCATGCTGGGGCTCAGTGTCCAGGCCATCATGGTGTCCAGATGGGACCAGGGCTCCAGGGCCCTGAGCCAGGTGTGAAGGCCAAGGCACATGAGTATAGAGGGGCAGGAGAAATACAGGGCTGAAGGCCAGCAGGAGGGCAGGGAGCCTGGGACAGAGGACAGAGGTGGGGACAGGGTGCAGGGACATGGGGCAAACCTGAGGGTGGAGTAGAGACATCCTCACGTGTCACCTTCAGCTCCAGGATCTCACTGGGCTCAGACCAGAAGGTCCCTTGGCGATAGAGGCAGTGATAACCCCTGGCAGTGTCATCACCCACTGTGGGGATGTGGAATCTGGCCTCTGTCCCGTTAGAGTCATGTGGAGGCATCACAATCTGATCCCCAAGGACAAATCTGTTCTCATCCTCCAGACGGAATGTGACAGCCCGAGTGGGGCCCCCGCACACGATGGTCACAGGCTGTCCCCGGGGGATCACAGGTCCCGCCTTGGCCCTGATGGAGGGTTTGGGCAGGATCCCTGTGAGAAAGCAGAGAAGATCTCAGGGTCCCTCAGGAGGAAGTCACCAGTTATCACAAACCTCCATTTCCTGGGTTCCCTTCCATGACTTTAGCAAACTTCCGGAGCTGTGCAACCATCCTCTCCACCCAGTTTTCAACATCCCACCATTCTTTCCCCAAACACCACCCCCCACACCCACTCCAGTGACTGTGAATCCTCATCACTGCAGAGTGACCTCCCTGACAAAAACCCCCAAGTCCTGGACACATGTTGGGCTTTTCTCAGGGTGACATAGGAGAGGTCAGAGCAGCCTGGGATCCTGGGAACTACTCCCTGCCAATAGTCACTTTCTAGGGGACAAAAATGCTGGAATGGTGGCAGAGGGTGAGAGTAACAGGTCACATGTGGGGACTGGGAAGCAGGCATCTGAGGATTCACCTGGGGTGAGACTGAAGGGCAGCTGGTGACACTGTGGCAACCAGTGGGGGCTACAGAGCTCCACTGGAAGTCAGGGGAGGGGAGGGTGGAGCTCCACCCTGACCTGGTCACATGACCCCAGTGGGTGCGGATTTCCAAACCCAAGGCAATCCTTTCAGCAGCACTCATCTCTGTTCCCACTGCATTCTCTACCTTCCTGGCAGCCTGTTCCCATTTCTAGTATGGAGGGTCCTGAAACCCCACGTGTGCCACATGTCTGGGGATCAGGGAAGATAGAGCTTTAGCTGTGAAACAGGAAGATGGTACCCAAGTCACACAAGCCTGATAGAGGCAGATGCTGACCAAGGTTCCCCACTCGTTCACTCACTCTGCCCCTCGCTCATTGTTTCATCCACATCCTAGTTCCTCTCCATCCATGTACAGAGGGGTTCCATGTGCCACTTACCCCACAAATATGAGACTCACTCACAAGAACCTCCTTCCTTGTCTCAAGGGAAGAGAGAGCACAGAGGTTCATGAAGTGATTGTGCAAATGCATAGGCACACACCCGGAGTGAGTGTGGGAGTCTCGGGGCCAAGGAGGGGCCAGTTGACCTCTATGGAATTCACAAGGAAGAGGTGCAGAGCTGAAGGCCAAGTGTGAACCAGCCCAGCCCAGTGAGAGGAAGGTCAGCCTGTGAGGAGGTCAGGTCCAGCAGAACAAGGGTCTTTGTGGAAGTGAAAGAAAGGCTGTGTCCCCACAGATCAGTGGGTCAGACAGCATGAAAACAGACCCATCCAGACAGAGATGGGCCTGGGTCATATCCTAGCTGAAGGTAAGCCATAAGAGGAATCTAACAAATATCAATACCTTGTCTAAAAACACAAGACACATGAAAAGTGAATTTAACAAGGTAGATTCACCTTCCTACATGTGGATGGTCTGACCCAGGCAGAGCACTGGAAGAGAAGCTGTGGTGAGAAAAATGCCCAGCACCCAGCCTCCTCCCGGGGCTGCACTCAGGGGCCCTGATGGAAGCAGGGCTCAGCCCCTGAGAATGTCCAGCTACTTCCTCAGCATTACCTCTGAGCATAGCCTTTCTTCTTGCTTTGACCTTCAACAAAGCCCCAATCCCTTTTTCCAACAGGTACTCAGTCTGAAACTGTCCCCAAACCCAGGTACCCACTTCTGAGACTCAACCTTAAATGGTCAGACTTGGGTCAGGGCCAGAACAGAGGGGTCAGACCCCTAGGGGGGACCATGAGTCTCCTGGGCTGGAGTCAGGACTCAAAAGGGATGGAGACGCCTCCCCAGGCTCCCAACCCCCTCTGTACCAGCATGTTATCCCTCCATTCCAGCACTCACCGAGGACCAGGAGGGAGCTGGCATGAGGGCCCATGGCCACACCTGCAGCCTGCACGGACCTGCAGACTGAGGGTAAAGGACAGAGCCTGCAGCTGGCACAGTGGTCAGGAAGTGTGGGGTCAGGGGTTTTCTGGGAGTTGCTACATCAGTGTCCTGGAGCAAAGGGGAAGAGCTAATGCAGATGGTCCTGAGTGCAGGTTGAGTACAATTCCTGTGAGACACTGAGAGAGGGTGGAGCCGTGCCCAGGGCAGGAGGCTATGCCCATGGCCGGGGCCCAGGAACATCAGTGGGGCTGAGACAGTGCCCAGAACAGTGGTGGGGCTGCAGCAGAGGCCGATGGCTGTGCCCACCAGGGCTGGGTGGTGACTGTGGTGGCCCCAGATCTCAGGCACTGTCTGTGGTCGGTGCTGGCAGAGGTGCACACAGGTCCATCTTGCCACCCAGACCTCCATGCACCCACTTTGAAGACAAGACCCTTGGAGGCCCTCTTGTGCATGCTGGGGAGGGGAGGGCAGGATGCTGGATGGTCTCTCTTCTCTCGTGATGCCGAGAAGACAGAACTCGGGTGAACCTTGGTGTGTAAGGAATAAATGACACACCTTCTCAAGAGCAGGTGTGGGGTTTACCTGTGATGCTTCCTGACAGTCATTTTTACAAAGAAAAGGGGCATCTCCCTTCCCCCCTTTCCCATCAGACCCTGTGAACACACTGCACATTCCTAATACCCCCGATACAAGAGCCCAAACTTCCCTTTCTATTAGGCAGACTGAGAGCTGCCTCCAGAACACCTACAGGCCCATCCTCTAAGAACCAACACAGGTGACTTCTCTGCCCTCAGCTTTCTGTGCTGCCTCCTGTCTGACCCATCACCTCCCCACCCAGCCAGCCCCTTCATGGGTCAGCACTTGCAGAGCTCCCCCCGCACTCCTGGAACTCCCAATACACAGCAGGGCCCTCACCAGCCCTAGGCCCTGGGCTCTGGGACAACCTCCTCTGAGGGAGGGGCTCTCACATGCCACCACTTCCTCCTCAGGACATACCACTACTCTGGGTCTTGGGGCCCTGTTTCCTGTGTCCCCACATTCCTGTCCCTGACCACAGAGGGCAGCAATGGAGTTGCTTCTAAAGGAAAGAGTGCTTTCTGCACTTTCTGCATCTTCTTATTGGCAGGACAAGTCCATTGGCAGAATGACAGGTGACTTGTGTAAGGCAGCATCTGAAAGGGACGATGCCTCAAAGGTGAGATCCCAGACCCTCTGCCGCTGTTCCATGGAGTGTGTCCACCTGGGAAAACCACCAACTTCATTGCTTCTTGTGTTCAATTGTTGTCCTTGTGTGAATATTTTTAATACATCTTTTTAAATTGAAGACAAGAGAAGCTGAGAGAAACCCAATGTTTCTGGCGATAAAGGGTCAGATAGAGCAGGGCAGGAGGAGGCTAGAGGTAGACACGGCAAAAAAAGACACATTGATAGGGACCTGATGTGGCTGCAGTCTAACCAGTTCAGGGTTTCAGATGGAAACAAGAGTCATCAATATTTTCCCTAACTTCATCTGAAGGACAGAACACGGCTGTGGTGGCAGGGAGATTCCCCTGGACACCCCAATAGCTGCTGTGGATGGGGGAGTGAGGGAGCTCAGATTGGGGACACACTCCCCAGCAGGGACGTGGGAACATGTGAGGAAATATGAGGACACGTGGAGGGGAATCAGCAGGATCTGGGATGGAGGGACATGAGGAGGGACATGCAGGGAACCTAGGGTGACTGTGTTGCCTGATCCTGGACTCATGACCCTCACTGAAAAAACAAGAGCAGAGTGATGAGGAGTCACTCTGAGTGGGCGAGAACCAGGGGTCCAGTTTTGCATTTATTAGCTCTAAGTGTTCTGGAGATCAGTGTGACGTGCCGGGGGTGTTTGCAGCCATCAGGAGAGACTTGGGAAGGACATTCCTCGGCTGTAACCAGGATTCAGTCCCTCCCAGAACCCACAAGACTCCAGTCAGAGTGGCCCTTGCAATGGGAGGGATTAGAGGTGTAAAAATGAGTCCTCTCCTAGGTGTGGATCACCCAGCACAGGCAGAGAGTGGCAAGCAAAGGCCCAGGGTAAACACACTGTTTGGTCTCCTTAACTAGGGGTCAAGGTCAGTGAGCCTCAGGGAAAGACTTTGTCTCCACTGCAACCTCCAAACCACCCTCATCCGTACCACTCCCAAGGGGCAGCTTCCTTCCTCTGTAGTGGGTTTCACTCAAGTTCCCAGGCACCTCCCACCCAGACTTCCCATGGCCTTTCTGTATCGGGCCTGTCCCTTCCCAGGGTCAGAACAGGTTAGGGGACCTAGTCCCTCCTCTGAAGGCTCAGGCCCAGGTACCCCAGAGTCGGCAAGGTCTGCATGACTGACTCTCTCCAGGGCCCTGCAGGTCCTGGACTAGAGGCTAGACTGAGGTGGGGCCCTGACCTCACACTGATGCCACCCCTTTTGTCCCGGGGGTTCTGCCCCTGTGTTCCTACTCACAGACATCCAGAAGGGGTTGGTATTGTGGCCCATAATCAGCCTCTCACCGTCCTCTCTGTCCTCGTCCTCTGGATGGAAGGACAGGACCCTACAGTTTGGGAAGTGTGCAGTGGCCACACCTTGGGCTCATTTCCGTGGTCTCACAGGAAGTGATTATGAGTGCTGCCAGGCCCAACTCTAATGTCCCCTCCTTGGGTCCAGAGAGGTTTTAATTTCTGAAAATTTTTTCTACTGAGATATTTCATAACCAGGCTGAACCCATGTCAATCTAAAGACCTATGGTATTAACTGCATCACATGGATAAAGAGAGATATAAATAAAAGATACATGTATGGACTCAAGCACCAACTCACACCTTACACAAAAATAAATTGAAGGTGGACAAAAGACTTAAATATAAACTGTGACACCATTAAAGTCCTAGAGGAGAACGTAGTTAGGAAAATCTCAGATATTTTACACAGAAACATTTTTACTGACATGTCCCCTAGAGCATGGGACATATAGGAAAGAATAAACAAATGGGATCATCCAGATAAAAGGCTTCTGCACAGCTAAAGGAACAGTACTGAAATAAAAGGAGAATCAACTGTGTGGGAAAACATATTTGCCAATGATACCTGAGTTAAGGATTTAATCTTCAAAATATATATAGAACTCAGATGTCTACACTCTAAGAAGAAGACTAGCAACCCAATTAAAAAAGGACAAAGGACTTGAACAGACACTCCTCTAAGGAGGACATACAGAGAATCCAGAGATACATGAAAAGATGTTCAATATCATTAGCTATCAGAGAGATACAAATCAAAACCACAATGAGATGCCACTTCATACCAGTCAAAATGGCCTTCATAAACAAAGCAACAAACAACAAGTATTGGAGAGGTTGTGGAGAAAAGGGGACCCTTCTGCACTGTTGGTGGGACTGCAGACTGGTGCAACCACTATGGAAAACAGTATGGAACTTCCTCAGAAAATTAAAAATGGATCTGCCTTTTGACCCAGCAATTCCATTGCTGGGACTATATCCTAAGAACCCTGAAACACCAATCCAAAAGAACCTTTGCACCCCAATGTTCATAGCAACACCATTTACAATAGCTAAGTGCTGGAAGCAGCCTAGGTGCCCATCAGTAAATGAATGGATCAAAATCTATGGCACATTTACACAATGGAATTCTATGCAGCAGAGAGAAAGAAGTAGCTCCTACCCTTTGCAACAGCATGGATGGAGTTGGAAAGCATTATGCTAAGTGAAATAAGCATGGCAGTGAAAGACAAATACCATATGATCTCATCTTTAACAGGAACCTAAACAACAAAACAAACAAACAAGCAAAATACAGTCAAAGTCCCTGAAATAGAGGTCAGGCTGACAGTGACCAGAAGGGAGAGAAGAGGGAATTTCAGGGGAGAATGGGAAGGGTTTACAGGAACAAATATAAAGGAAACATGGGCAAAAACTAGGGGGTGTGGAAGTGGGAGGCAGGTGGGGAGGGATGGGTGGGTGGGCTGGAATGGGGACAAAAGGCAAAAAAACTGTACTGGAACAATGACTAAAATAAAAAATGTAAATTAAAAACAGATAGGCTTATGGAAATACAAAGAGATGATAAATGATAGATAGGTAAAGAATAGATACATAGATGATAGATAAACATGTAGATAGAGGGGATGGGTGGGTAGATAGAGAAGTAAAAGACAGGTAGATGGATAGATAAGTAAATGATAGGTAGATAGAAAAATGATAGGTACATGGATACACATGTACCATAGATAGATATATACACACTTAGATACATAGATATTCACACAGATACATGAATACATACATAAATATATAGATTGAAAGTTACATAGATACATACATAGACCAATGGTTACATAGATAGCCACATTGACACTTTGATACATAGATAGTAATATAGATACATAAAGACTTAGGTACATAGATAGATACTTAGATACAGAGAGAAATACATGGACAGCATAAGCAGGGAGACTTATTGGCCTGGCTTTGGGTTCCACAGGCTGACAGTCCCCAGCAACACACTTATGCAAACACTTCGGTTTCCCAAGTGCAGAAGGAGAACCATACAGCTCTCTTGAGACCTTCATATGATGACTGGGGGTCACAGAGAGGAACTTGGCACAGGGAATGGGTACTCAGTCTACCCTCCCCATGCTCTCCAGGGCAGGTGGCACCCTGCTCAGTCACCATGCCTTTGTCTCTGTGTCCCTGTATGTCTGTGACCCTGGGCTGTGCTCAGTACCCACCTGCCTCCCAGTTTGCTCAGTTTTCTCTGAAGTAAAAGCCAAGTCTACAGAGGCAAATGGACTACACAGACTGTTGTTTTGTCCAAAGGTTGGTGAGAGGGGCTTCAAGGAAGGTTGTGTTTGCAAAGAACCAGTTGGATACGGGGGATGGAGTTCTAACTGAATGATGTGGGTGTCTCTAGGTCCATCTATGGCACAGATCACCGGCAGTGTGTGGAGAGAAGGTGGACTCCTAGCCTCTGCCCCTCACTACAGGTAGTCGCATGATTATGACCTCATATGGGAAGGGCCCAGCCCCAAGAGGGGGAGAATCAGGACCTGAAGGGAAAGACCTGAGACTTCTCAGGGTCACAGCCCAGGGAGGGGCTGCTGGGCTGCAGCACCAGGCAGGCAGTCTCCCAGGAAGAGCTAGGGTCAGTGGGAAGGGACTTCCTCATTGTCCTGGGTCAGCCAGGTGAGGTCAGAAAGAGAAGAGGAGGTGTCTGCAAGGCCTGCTGTCACGTCCTCATGGATGGAATGGGGCTCAGCCTCTTCAAGGGCACAGACCTACAGCTCTCCCCAGACATGAGCTCACGCCCAGGGGACACCCAGTCCTGTGGTCACTGCTGCTCCAGGAGAAGAGCATCGAGCTCTGGGAGTCCATCCTCCCTCCTGGCACCAAGGTTCATGTACATTATGAGCCTGGGCCTCAACCTCACCTGCCCAGGGCCCCATGTTCCCGAGCCCCAGTCACCCAGCACCTCCAAGAAACAGAAGGTCAGACCATGGACTCTGCCCTGGGTAAGAACCCAAGAGGTGAATCTGAGGATTCGGGGTGGTGTGGCCACAGCAGTCAGTGTCCCAGTGTGCTTCAGGGAACCCAGCATCTCTGGTCAGAATTATAGCACCTGCTCTTCTGGGGCTCCACCATGCGCAGACAGCAGCTGGTGGGACTTGCAGGTTCTGTGTCCTGTGAGCCTGCTCCTGTACTGAATCTATCCGTTCTCTCCTGTGTCTCTAGGTAGCATACATACCAGAACACACTGGTTCTGTGTCACTGGAAAACCCAGGCTAATGCACGAGCAGATCAAAAGTAACAGAGAGATGGAAAGACAGAAATTTGATCCATGATAGAACCCCAAGAAAATAAAGATAAAAACGGAGAATTGGAAGGCGAATTCGTGGAGGAAAATCACCCCTGAGTAGAAATGGCAAAGGAAAGATCAGTACAAATTATAATTGAGGAGGAAGGGTGGACACCCACCCTCTCTAAGCCAGGACAGAAACCTCCCGGCTAATGAGATGTTTTCCTCTCCTGAAGTCAGAGGTAGCCACCTTGGGCAAGTTAGTGAGTATCCCACTGGCTAGTTTTTAAAAATCAAGACAGAGGAAAGACTCCAGGTATCATGGAGGGTTTGAATATGCTAATGTTTCGCAGAACTAAAGTAGCAATTGCACGTTTAAAAGCCCTGGCTGAGTTTTGGTTCAACTTTTAAAATATTCTTTTAATATAGAGTAACGTTTTTAATACCAGGCCTGTAACAGGCATGTAACTTTCTTCTTTTTCCTATTAAAAAGCAGCTAAATTAATCCGAGCGAGACTCTGGCGCCCCCTGGCGGTTCTCAGGGTATGGACTCCTTTTAACCCAATAGGACAGCCAGTTTGACCTATAAACTGTCTGGTGAAAACAGCTGGGCAACATCAGCTGGGTCTCTGGAAACTGCTGGACATTGGATGGCTGTCTGGAAACTGATGGACAACATTAGATGGGTCTCTGGAAACAGCCAGGTGCCAGTAGCTGGGTCTCTGGAAACAAAAGTTACAACTGAGTCCTGGCTGGCGTAGCTCAGTGGATTGAGCATGGGCTGCGAACCAAAGCATCGCAGGTTTGATTCCCAGTCAGGGCACATGCCTGGGTTGCAGGCCATGGCCCCCAGCAACCACACATTGATGTTTCTCTCTCCCTCTCTCTCCCTCCCTTTCCTCTCTAAAAATAAATAAATAGAATATTTAAAAAAAAACAAGATTAAAAAAATAAGTTACAACTGTGCTTCTCCAAGTTGGTGAGTTGTAGGAGGGACCTCCTGGTTAGTGAACCTCTTAATTCTTCAGTAGGGGTCCCCAAAGTCCAGGTCTTGCCTCCAGGAGAAATGTGTTAATGACTTTTAGGAAGGAGATAGTTTAATAGGGAAGTCCTCCAAGTGGCTGCTACCCGCCTGTGCAAGAGTGGCGTCCTGTGTCTCGAGGTGCAGAGGCCAGGTGGTCCTGAAGTCAGTGTCCTGGGAGGGCAGCATACATGCTGGACTCAGCTGTGGGCTCTGTGGGTTGTGGGGACTCGGTGTGAGCTGCTCTCCGTGTGAGGGCCCACTGGTCCAGCTGGGCATATGTCACCTCCTGGGGGTCTCCTGCAGCAGGACTCTGAGGGACAGACCCAGGATAAGTTAGTGTGGCTGAGGCGGAGGGGTGGGGGCTGTGGGAAGGAAAGACTGGGAAGACAGCATCCATGTGGCCCCTGTCATCCCAACCCCAGAATCTTCATTGTGTGGCCTCCTTCCACACAGAGTCAGAGACAGTCTGTGACCCACAGAATATGGCACAAGTGAGACCCTAGGCCTCCAAGGAGGGACCACAAAAGATGTCATGGCTTCGGCCCATCTACTCTGGGATCTCTCCCCCGGGGAGGCTGGCTGCCATGGAGAAGCCCACCTGCCTGCAAAGAAACTGAGGCCCCCCACCCCCATCCCTGCAGGGGTGCCACCCTACACATGGACCATGCTGCCCCGGCCAAGTCTTCAGCTTGGACACAGCCCTGGTCATCTGCACAGCAACCTCATGAGAGTCCCTGAGCCAGCACCACCCAGCACATTCCATCTGCTTCCAAATCCTCACCCAGGACGCTGGGATGATTTTGTGAACCCATTAAAGTGGGGGTGCTCTGTTACCCCAAAACCAGTGGCAAATACAAGGACTCACTGGGCTGTGCATGTCTCCATTTTCCTCAGGAAGTGCATCCACTGTGGTGGCCACATCTGGAGGGGAGAGAACAGTGGTCAGCTCTGGGGGTGGACCTTTGAAGCCAAATGTGCCTGAGAATTCACAAGGTCAGATTTCATACCCTCCTCCTCTAGATCCCATACTTTTCCCAGATACCTCCCACCCACACTGCTTTTGTAATGGCACTGAATGTGCATTGCCCTCCTCCCAAGAGGTCCCCTCTCCTTGTCCCTTTACCTGCTGGGCTCTCCATGATGTCATCTATTGGGCTGAGCCTGAGGAGAAAGAACAGGTGAGCATGGGGGGCACCTGGAGGCAGAGAACTGGAAGAGGGGGTGCATGGTCACTCCCAGGGGAGTCTCACCTCTCCTGGGGCCTTGGCTCCTCACCCTTGCTGCTGGGGGGCCCTGAGGACAGTCAGGGGTGTGAATTAGGAGGGAATCTGTCTTCCCAGCACCCCAAATACCTTCCCACATGACCCCACCCTGACCCCGAGACTCACCACGTTTTTTCTGATGATGACAGCGGACTAAGAGGAGGGTCAGGAGGAGGAGACAAAGCAGAGAGGCCACAAAGATCCCAACAAGAATATAAAGAAGCGCTGGTGACCGGCCTGGGGGAACATGGGAGATGGAACCAAGGTATCAGCAGTGTGCATTTACTGAGCACCTCCTGCATACCATGCCTGTGCTGGGGGCTTGGCATGTTCAAGCCTCATGGATGATCTCTCACGTGCCTCGTAGTCCTGCCACACAGGAACCATCACCCCCATTTCATTAAACCGGGATCCTGAGTGGGGACGTCTTCTGTCCAGAGGACAATGGCAGAGATGGAATGTGATGGACGCCCAACCCCATTCTTTCCCTCCCCCAGGAGGCACGCTCCAGGTCCATGGCCCACTGACCCCATCACTCACTGCGGATCTTAGTGTCCAGGGAATTTGTCTGTGTGTGTCCTAGGAGTGAGGAATCAGGGGGACATGTGTCAAAGGCCAGAGCTGGGCAGAGGAGGTTCTGAGTGTCCTTGCTCCCCACCCAGGGGGTCTCCCTGGCTCTGGGACCCTCACCTGTTCCCTCCAGTGATGCTGGGGTCATGGAACTTTCTGTGGGGATGAAAATACCATATGTCAGTCCTGTCCAAATTCATAACCATATTTTATTGAATCCATTGATACCAAAGTTAAATAAATATGTCTACATGTCAAATGCAAACATGTATATAGGCATATATTTGTATATATACACATATATGTAAATTTTTAAAATTAATCCTTCTCCTTGCTCACCCAAATCCAACACCCTTCCATCTGACAGCTGTCATTCTGTTCCGTGTATCTGTACCTCTGTTTCTATTTTCTTTGTTACATTATTTTGTTTATTAGACTCCACATAGAAGTGAGATCATATGGTATTTGTCTTTCTCTGACTCTCCTTGCCCAGGGCAGAGGGCTCGACCCCAGAGCCTGATCCTAGGCACAGAGCCCCCAAAATCTTCTCTAGACTGAAGCTTCTACTCAACAACTGTGGTGGGGGGATCCATGGGTATGAGAGGGGGTGGAACTGACAACTCTGGGGGCTCCTGTGAACAGGGAAGAAAAAGGTTGATGCGATGTGGGGCTGCCTGGGTTTGTCCCACTGGGCCTTGCCCATCTCCACCCTGATTTTCTAAGGACAGGCCACATCAGTCCATCACTCTATCCCAGAAGACCCCTCACATTCCTGAGAAATGGGGAACAGGAGTCAGGGAGAGACCCCTGCTCCTTTCTGCTGAGAGGAAGTGGTCACTCCTCTTACCCCCACCACCATGCTGCTCCTGACCCCATGAATCAACAAGGAATTGATCCTGCAAAACCCAGGAGCACATGGAGGGGGTCAGAGTGTCACGATGGGCTCTGAGTCCAGGACATCACAAGCCTGAACACACTGGGAAACACAGCTTCAACCCTCAAATACCTGAATGCAGTATCCAGCCCTGTCATGGGCCCCTGGACCCCATGAGTTTCCAAAAAGGATCAATCATGCATACAGGACACATTACCTGGGTCCCATAGAGTCTGGCCCAGGAAAAGGACAGTAAACCACCTGCTGGTGTGACAACTGTCTCCTTGAATGGGGTCTTTCTCCAACTGACCTCTGGGAGTCCACTCCCCACCCAGCCCTGCCGGGACAGCTCTGTGTCCACAACAATGCTGGGCTCAGTATCCAGGCCATTGTGGTGTCCAGATGGAACAAGGACTCCAGGGCCCTGAGCCAAGTATGAAGGTCAAAGGACAGGAGTGCAGAGGGGCAGGGGAGCCACAGGGCTGGGGGCCAGCAGGAGGGCAGGGAATTGAAGACAGAGGACACAGCTGTTGACAGGATGCAGAGACCTGAGGCAAACCTGAGGGTGGAATTGAGATGTCCTCACCTGCCACCTTCAGGTGTAAGAGCTCACTGGGCTCAGACCAGCCAGAAACTGTACTGTAGCAGCAGAAATAACTCCCAGCACTGAATTCATTCACTGAGTCAATGTGGAATCTAGCCTTGGTCCCCTGTGAACCAGGCTGAGACACAATTCTGTGATCCCAAATGAATAATCTTCTGTTCTTCTCCACCAGACGGAATAACTCCGCCCAGTCTGGGCCCCCCCACACACGATGGTCACAGGCTGTCCCCGGGGTATCACAGGTCCCGGCTCGGCCCTGATGGAGGGTTTGAGCAGGAGCCCTGGGAGGAAGCAGAGCAGATCTCAGGGTCCCTCAGGAGGAAGTCACAACTCTCACAATCCCCTCTTTCTGGATTCACCTCCCCACTTTTAGCAAACTTGCACAGCTGTGTAACCATCCCCTTAACCCAGTTTAGAACTTCCCACCATCCTTTTCCCAAACACTACCCCCCACACCCACTCCAGTGACTGTGAATCCTCATCACTGCAGAGTGACTCCCCTGACACAGGACCCCGAGTCCTGGTCACATGTTGGCCTTTTCTCAGGGTGACACAGGAGGGGTCAGAGCAGGTTGGAGCCATATATATGACTCCTTGCTCCCAGTCATTTTCTAAGGGAACAGAGACACTGGGAGGGAGGCAGAGGGTGAGAGTGATGGGTCACATGTGGGGACTGGGAAGCAGGTGTCTGAGACATGGGAATGACCTGTGCTAGGACTGGAGGGCAGCTGGGTGACACTGTGGGGACCAATGGGAACTGTAGAGCTCCACTGGAAGCCCATGGGGGTGGAGCTCCAACAGGATCTGGTCACATGACACCAGTGGGTGGGGATTTTTATCCCTAAGGCAATCCTCTGAGCACCACTCAGCTCTGTTCCCACTACATTCTCTACCTTCCTCACAGCCTGTTCCCATTTCTAGTATTGAGGGTCCCGAAAACCCCATGTGTGCCATGTGGCTGGGGAGGGGTGAAGAGAAGACTCATAGCCCTGAAACAGGAAGATGGCACCCACAGCACACAAGCCTGAAAGAGACAGACGCGGACCAAGGCTCCCACTCCTTCACTCACTCCCCCCTCACTCATTCTTTCATCCACATCCTAGTCACCCTTCGTCCATCTACAGAGGGGTTCCACATGCCACTGGCCCCACAAACACTACACTCACACACAAGGACCTGCCTGTTGGTCTGGAGGGAAGAGGGAGCACAGAGGCTGATGAAGGGATCATGTAAACCCACAGACACATACACTGACAAATGCCCCGGGTAACTGTGGGAGTCTCGGGGCCAATGAGGATCACCTGACTTTGTATGGAAGTGAGAAGGGAGATCAACTGAGCTGAGATTCAAAGGCCGAGTGTGAACCAGCCCAGCCCAGTGAGAGGAGACGTCAGCCTGGGAGGAGGTCAGGTCCAGTGACAAAAGGGTGTTTGTGGAAGTGTAGGAAGGCTGTGTCTCCACAGATCAGTAGGTCAGACAGCATGAAAACAGACCCATCCAGACAGAGAGATGGGCCTGGGTCATATCCTAGCTGAAGGTAAGCCATAAGAGGAATCTAACAAATATCAATACCTTGTCTAAAAACACAAGACACATGAAAAGTGAATTTAACAAGGTAGACTTACTGTTCTGCATGTGGATGGTATCAGCCAGGCAGAGCACTGGAAGAGAAGCTGTGGTGAGAAAAACACCCAGCGTCCAGCTTCCTCCCTGGGCTGCGCTCAGAGGCCCTGATGAAGGCAGGGCTCAGCCCCTGAGAATGTCCAGCTCCCTCCTCAGCATTCCCTCTGAGCACAGCCTTTCTTCTTGCTCTGACCTTCAACAAAGCCCCAATCCCTTCTTCCAACAGGTACTCAGTCTGAAACTGTCCCCAAACCCAGGTACCCGCTTCTGAGACTCAACCTCCCATGGTCAGACTTGGGTCAGGGCCAGAACAGAGGGGTCAGACCCCTAGGGGGGACCATGAGTCTCCTGGGCTGGAGTCAGGACTCAAAAGGGATGGAGACGCCTCCCCAGGCTCCCACCCCCTCTGTACCAGCATGTTATCTCTCCATTCCAGCACTCACCGAGGACCAGGAGGGAGCTGGCATGAGGGCCCATGGCCACACCTGCAGCCTGCACCGGACCTGCAGACTGAGGGTGAAGGACAGAGCCTGCAGCTGGCACAGTGGTCAGGAAGTGTGGGGTCAGGTGTTTTCCGGGAGTTGCTACATCAATATCCTGGAGCAAAGGGGAAGAGCTAATGCAGATGGTCCTGAGTGCAGGTTGAGTACAATTCCTGTGAGACACTGAGAGAGGCTGGGCCGTGCCCAGGGCAGGAGGCTATGCCCATGACCAGGGCCCAGGGAATATCAGTGGGGCTGAGACAGTGCCCAGAACAGTGGTGGGGCTGCAGCAGAGGCCGATGGCTGTGCCCACCAGGGCTGGGTGGTGACTGTGGTGGCCCCAGATCTCAGGCACTGTCTGTGGTCGGTGCTGGCAGAGGTGCACACAGGTCCACCTTGTCACCTAGACCTCCATGCACCCACTTTGAAGACAAGACCCTTGGAGGCCCTCTTGTGCATGCTGGGGAGGGAAGGGCAGGATGCTGGTTGGTCTCTATTATTTCGTGATGCCGAGAAGACAGAACTCAGGTGAGCCTTGGTTTGTAAGGAATAAAGGTCACGCCTTCTCAAGAGCAGGTGTGGGATTTACCTGTGATGCTTCCTGACAGTCACTCTTACAGAGAAAAGAGGCATCTTCCCTCCCCCCTTTCTCATCAGGCCCTGTGAACGCACTGCACGTTCCTAATACCCCCGATACAAGAGCCCAAACTTCCCTTTCTATTGGGCAGACTGAGAGCTGCCTCCAGAGCACCTACAGGCCCATCCTCTAAGAACCAACACAGGTGGCTTCTCTGTCCTCAGCTGCCTGTACTGCTTCCTATCTGACCAGTCAACCTCCCCAGCCAGCCCCCTCATGGGTCAGCACTTGGCAGACCCCCTACTGAACCCTCCCATACACAGCAGGGCCATCACCAGCCCTGGGCCCTGGAATCTGGGACAACCTCCTCTGAGGGAGGGGCTCTCACATGACAGCACTTCCTCCTCAGGACACACCACCTGCTGTGGGTCTTGGGGCCCTGTTTCCTGTGTCCCCACATTCCTGTCCCTGACCACAGAGGGCAGCAGTGGGGTTGCTTCTAGAGGAAAGAGCGCTTTCTGCATCTTCTTATTGGCAGGACGACACCATTGGCAGAATGACAGATGACTTGTGTAAGGCAGCATCTGGAAGGGAAAATGCATCAAAGATGAGATTCCAGACCCTCTGCCACTGTTCCACAGAGTGTATCCAGCTGGGAAAACCACCAACTTCCCTGCTTTTGGTGTTCAATTGTTGTCCTATGTGAATATCCTTAATACATTTTTGTTAATTAAAGACAAGAGAAACTGAAAGAAACTCAATGTGTCTGGCAATAAGGGGTCAGACAGAGCAGGGCAGGATGTGGCTAGAGGTAGACATGGCCAGAGGGGACACATTGATAAGGGATCTGGTGTGGCTGCAGTCCAACCATTTGAGGGTTTCAGATGAAAGGAGAGTCATCAATATTTTCTGTAACTTCACCTGCAGGACAGAACAGGGCAGTGGTGGCAGGGAGAGTCCCCTGGACACCCCAGTAGCTGCTGTGTAGGGGGGAGTGAGGGAGTTCAGATTGGGGACACAGTCCCCAGCAGGGACGTGGGTACACATGAGGACACATGGAGAGAAATCAGCAGGGATCTGGGATGGAGGGACATGAGGAGGGACATACAGGGAACCTAGGGTGACTGTGTTGCCTGGTCCTGGACTCCCAACCCTCACTGAGAAAACAGGAGCAGAGTGATGAGGAGTCGGGTGTGAGTGGGCGAGAACCAGGGGTCCAGTTTTGCATTTAATGGCTGTGAGTGTTTTGGAGATCAGTATGACATGCCAGGGTGTTTGCAGCCATCAGGAGAGACTTGGGAAGGACATTCCTTGGCTGTAACCAGGATTCAATCCCTCCCGGAACCCACAGGACTCCGGTCAGAGGGGCCCTTGGGATGGGAGGGATTAGAGGTGTAAAAATCAGTCTTCTCCTTGGGTGTGGATCGCCCAGCACAGGCAGAGAGTAGCAAGGGAAGGCCCAGGGTAAACATATCCACTGTGTAGTCTTTTTAACTGGGGCTCAAGGTCAGTGAGCTGCAGGAGAAGACTTTGTCTCCTCTGTCACCTCCAAACTACCCTCATCCACATCACTCCCAGTGGGCATCTTCCTTCCTCTGTAGAGGGTCCCAGCCTCTCACCACCTTCTCTGTTCTTATCCTCTGGGTTAGAGGACAGAGCCCTACAGGTTGGGAAGTGTGCAGTGGCCATGCCGTGGGCTCATTTCCGTGGTCTCACAGGAAGCAAGTCTGGGTCCCCCAGGCCTGACTCTAACTTCCCCTCCTAAGGTCCACAGAGGCTTTGGTTTCCAAAAGGCATTTCTACTGAGATACTCCATAACCAGGGTGAACCCATGTCCACATAAAGACCATGTGGTATTAACTCCATCATAGATGGGCAAAGACTGAGATATAAATAAAAGAGAAGTGTACAGAGATATAAATAAATGATAAATGACAGGTAAAGGATAGATTCATAGATAATAGGTAAACATGTAGATAGAGGGGATGGATGGGTAGATAGAGAAGTAGAGGACAGGTAGATGGATAGATAAGTAAGTGATAGGTAGATAGAAAAATGATAGTTACATGGATACATACGTACCATAGATAGATATATACATACTTAGATACATAGATACTTATGCAGATACATGGATACATAGATAAATATATGGATTGAAAGTTACATAGATACTTACATATACCAATGATTATATACATAAACACATAGTCACTTTGATACATAGATAGTAACATAGATACATACATACTTAGATACATAGATAGATACTTAGATACAGAGAGAAATATGTGGACACCATAAGCAGGGAAACTTATTGGCCTGGCTTCCAATTCCACAGGCTGACAGTCCCCAGCAACACACTTATGCAAACACTTCAGTTTCCCAAGTGCAGAAGGAGAACCATACAGCTCTCTTGAGACCTTCACATGATGACTGAGGGGGCACAGAGAGGAGAGTGGCACTGGAAGGACACTCAGTCTGCCCCCTCATGCTCTCCAGGGCAGGTGGCAGCCTGCTTGGCCGCAATGTCCCTGTCTCTGTGTTCCTCTGTGTCCTGTGACCCTGGACTGTGCTTGGCACACACCTGCCTCCCAGTTGGCTCCAGTAACTCCTAAATTAAAAGCCCGTAAGTGTACAGAAGCAAATGCACTAATGAATTAGTCATGTTGCCCAAAGTTTTGTGGGAGGAGCTTCACGGAAGGTTGTGTTTGCAAAGAACCAGTTGGATCTGGGGCTGGAGTTCTAACTGAATGCTGTGGGTGTCTCTAGGTCCATCTATGGCATAGATCACAGGCACTGTGTGTAGAGAAGGTGGACTCCTAGCCTCTGTCCCTCACTACAGGGAGTCACATGATTATGACCTCACAGGGGAGGGCCCAGCCCCAAGAGGGGGAGAAACAGGACCTGGAAGGAAAGACCTGAGACTTCTCAGGGGCACAGCCCAGGGTGTGGCTGCTGGGCCACAGCATCAGATAGGCAGTCTCCCAGGAAGAGCTTGGGTCAGTGGGAAGGGACTTCCTCATTGTCCTGGGTCAGCCAGGTGAGGTCTGATAGAGAGGAGGTGATGTCTGCAATGCTGGCTGTCACGTCCTCCTGGATGGGGTGGGGCTCAGCCTCTCCAAGGGTACAAACCTGAGGCTCTCCCCAGACCTCAAGCTCATGCCCAGGGGGCACCCAGTCCTGTGGTCACTGCTGCTCAAGGAGAAGAGCATCAGGCTCTGGGAGTGTGCCCTCCCTCCTGGCACCAAGGCCTGTGTGCATTATGACCCTAGGCCTCAACCCCACCTACCCAGGGCCCCATGTTCCCCAGCCCCAATCACCCAGCACCTCCAAGAAACACAAGGTTCAGACCATGGACTCTGCCCTGGGGAAGAACCCAGGAGGTGAACCTGAGGATTCAGGGTGGTGTGGCCACAGCAGTCGGTGTCCCGGTGTACTGCAGGGAACCCAGCATCTGTGGTCAGAATTACAGCACTGACTCTCCTGGGGCTCCACTATGGGCAGATGGCAGCTGGTGGGACCTTCAGATTCTGTGACCTGTGAGCCTGTTCCTGTATTGGATCCATTCTTGCTCTCCTGTGTCTCTAGATAATGTATAAACCAGAACCTACTGTTTCTATGTCCCTGGAGAACCCAGGCTAATGCACTAATAGATCAAAAGTAACAGACTTCCAGCCAAGATGGAGGTGTAGGTAGACACCCTGTGCCTCCTCGCACAACCGAAACTAAGGACAACAAAAATTTAGAACAAAAAAAAAAACAACCAGAACAGAGAGAAATGAACTGTACGAAAGTCTGACAACCATTCATCCAGACAGGTAAGTGGGGCGGAGTCGGAGGCCTACAGAGAGGGGTCTAGGGGTCCCAGCAGGAAAGAGTGGTGGCTGGCAGTCAAGGGCTCGCAGGGCACACAGGGCAGTTGGCAGACCCACTAGCAGACCCTGAATGAGGGAGGCAATGAGCAGACCCAGTGAGGCATGCAAGGCAGCTGGCTGTCCCCAGTCATACATTCATGCACATATAAACTAGGCAAAAATGGGAAGTGACACAGACCAGGCAACCCAGGGACCCAGCGCCAGAAAATAAAGCCTAAAAGCACGAACTGCAAACACTTGTGGGGGTTGAGGTGCCAGGAGAAACTTCCAGCCTCACAGAAGAGCTCCTTGGGGAAACCCACAGGGTCCTAGAACGTAAACCAGCCCACCTACCCAGGAATCAGCACCAGGAGGGCCCAATCTGCTTGTGGGGAGTGGCAGAGGGGAAAGAAGTCCGAGAGGGAGCAGAGCAGGTGTCACTGTTCCCTCTTGGACCCCGCCCCCACATACAATGTCACAACCCAGCAACTGGGGTGCCTTGCCCTCAGGAACACCTAATGCTCTGCCCCTCAATATGTAAAGGCAAGATCAGACAAAAAAATGGCTCAAACAGAACAAATCAAAGCC